TTTTCCTAATTTCTCCTTCGGATCCAGCCCGGCGCCCCAGCCCGTGGTGCACTTTTGGTGCACTTTTGGTGCTAAAAGCGCCAAAAGTGCACCAGTTACTGGTGCACTTTTGGTGCTAAAAGCGCCAAAAGTGCACCAAAAGTGCGCCAGTCAAAAATCGGTTTCGGAAAAAATCCAGAAATTTTTCCTGAAATTTTCAAATTTTTTTCAGAAAATTTTCCAAAAATTCTGCAAATTTTGCAGCCGCCCAGTGCTCTAACTGCCCGTTCCTGCCTGCCTCTGCTCCCTGGCCGTGGTGGTCATGGCCGACTCCGCAGAGCTTCCTGCCGAGGTCTTCGAAGAAGCAGAGTGTGCAGAGGAAGAAGACAACAGCAAGAAGCCCAAGGCGAAGGCCAAGGCCAAAGCCAAGGCCAAAGCCAAGGCCAAAGCCAAGGCCAAAGCCAAGGCCAAAGCCAAAGCCAAAGCCAAAGCCAAGGCCGAAGCCAAGGTGAAAGCTAAGGCCAAAGCCAAGGTTCGAGGGAAGCCGAAGGCCAAAGACAGCAAGGAGGGCATGGATGGGGCCGGCGATGCTGAGGCCTTCAACAGCTCTGAGAACGGTTCCCCTAGTCTAGCTGATGCTCAAAAGGTGCTGGGAGATCAGTCGCAGATCCGGAAGGATGAGGCAGGCTGGATCGCGGCCCAACTGGGCTTGGAGAAGGGCCACGTGGCAGGGGCGGTTCGCCTCTTCCAGGAGGGAAGCACGCTGCCCTTCATCGCACGATACCGGAAAGAGCAGACAGGCTCCATGAACGAAGAGAGCCTGCGGCGCGTCGAGCGCGAGCTGAACCGTGTGAGGGACCTCGAGACGAAACGTGCCAGGGTTGCCCTGGCCCTGCAACGTGGGAAGCACCTCACCCCAGATCTCGGCGAGAGCTTGCTGCAGGCGGAAAGCCTGGAAGACATCGATGCGTTGTGGGCGCCCTTCAAAGCCAAGAGGCAGACGCGGGCCCAGGTGGCAAAGTCTCTGGGCTTGGAGCCCTTGGCCAGCCTTTTGGAAGAGGCGGCCAAGCAGCTCGCACCACGGAAGATGGAGGCCGGATCTGATGCCTTGAAAGCACCCATAGGCCCCATAGTAGTTCCGTTTTGGGATTCCTTAATGGGATCCTAAATACAGGCCACAAAAAGGAACTACAACAGGGCCTATGTGTATAGATACGAAACTGTAGACGGCTCTGTACCCTGAAGCCCTAAGCCCGATACCACGAAAGCCTATACTACATGGCTCTGTACCCTGAAACCGTGAGCTTAAACCATAACCCCAATCGTCGTAGTGTTCCCAGCCAGGTGGCCTTACCATTGCGAGAAACCCTAAACCCTAAGCCGTTGTCGAAGTCAACCAGTGAAACCTACTGTGAGTTCTCTCGTTTCGTCTTTGACCAGTATCGCTACAGACCTTCCCAGGCTTGTCCGAGTGTGAGTGTCACAAAAACCCTAAGTCCTAAACCCTAAACTCCTAAACCCTAAACCCCTAAACCCCTAAACCCCTAAACCATCCTAAACCCCTAAACCCCAAACTGGGCCCTAAATCGAGGCCGAAGCCGTGACGCTCCAAGAAGCCGGGGCCGAGAAGCGCGAGGAGGCAGAGAAGCCCAGAGAGGCGCCAGCCGATAGGCTTCCCTTAGTAGGGTTTAGGGTTTAGGGATTCCTTAATAGAATCCTAAATAGAAGCCACAAAAAGGAACGACTATGGGGCCTATGGCTTGAGTCAAAGGGGCTTACGCTGTAGGGCCTCTAGGGTTTAGGGCTTAGGGCTTCTGGGGTTTAGGGCTTAGGGCCGCTGGCTTCCCTTAGGCCCCATAGTCGTTCCTTTTTGGAATTCCTTAATGGGATCTTAAATATATGCCACAAAAAGGAGCTACTATGGGACCTATGGCTTGAGTCAAAGGGGGTTATAAGGCTTAGGGACCCCAAGTCCGTGCTCAAAAAAGAGGCCTCTGGGGTTTAGGGTTTAGGGT